AAAAAAAAAGAAAATAATGGCCCGTTTATTTACAACATGAAGTTACTCAGTGGTTATATTTACGTCGTGATAAAGCATTATTACTTACAGTATGCATTTCCAAAGTAATTGATTATTCTAGAGCAATGTTTTTGGGACCCTGAGTTTCACATTTATCCTAAGCAAACAGGAGCAACAGCAAAAAAACAAAGAGAACAAATTTCAGACCTTTGATATCTCTATGGCTTAGATTTCCACTATTCAAAATTTGAATAATTTGATTAAGGATGATGAGCATAGACTTTGCAACAACTTTGCATAATTGACAATCTCCTATTCATTCTAATTCAATGATTCAAAAAAGTTTCTTGAACCACGTTGGCCGCTCCTTTTCCATTTCTATTATTCTCTTTCCATGCAGTACACCATTTTCCACTTTATCATCCGCAAATTTCACAAAGACCTGAAATACATACAGGTAACTTTAGATAACCACTCAAACAGATGGAAAATTGAGCTTTACATTTAATATACCTGTTTGTCTTGTCGTTCACCTTTATATGGATTGTACGACATCATCTTCCGCTTAATTTCGTTTGTTAACTGATGAACCTAAAAATAAAGGAAGTTTGTGGTGTTCTTGGGGAGCTGGAGAAGACGAAGAATGGCAAAAATCGTTTAATTATGAAGCAGCAGAAGGGTTCGAGAAAATTCTGCGGCGAGGAGTGGGGATCCAAGATCTCAAAAATAGGATTTTTTTCGAAGGCTACACAGAGGAGTGCTGGCAAGCCAATCACGAAAACCATACAATTTCACGGTACGGTCACATATACAATAAGTGAAAGCGGAAGTAGGCTAAGATCACAAAATTACCTGAAAATTAATATGTTGGGGTTATTCGACATTTTAGTCTCGAACATGATAACCACTTGGACCCTACTGTAGAATGTTAGGTAGGCGGGTAAGCTTCATTGACTTGCCCCAAAATCGGTCTAGTGGAATAATCTGACAGGCTGATAATAAAAATTGAAATGTCGCGTTTCAATACAACGAGTACTGAAAGTAATTTTTGATCAAGGGTTGAGGCTGATAACTAGGAAGATTGGTATTATTACAAGAATCTACAACTCTACTAAAAGAAAGTAGTAGTGCGTAAGTAGAAATATAATTCTCGTATATAACAGACATATTGAACAGCAGGGTCGAGTGTGAGGATGTTTACTTCCGCAATTAGCGGTTAAAAGTCACTAGAGCACTTTACAAGTAATTCTGTTATTTTGACTCAGTACTTCTACTGCCCTAATTCTACAAAAAGTACTGTACTTCCTATAGCGTAAGATTTGACATGGATTTCGCATCAGCATGCCAAATAACGCTTGGGCGAATTCTGCGCGAAGTCCAAATTTTTGGATTTTTAGGCACATAATTCAAAAATGTACCATTTATTTTATAACATTCTTTCAGAAGGAGTTGTTGTACTGAGATTTTAAGTACCACTTTTGGTAGACGATCATTCACAGCATTATTATCCACTGTACTAACCAAAAAAAGCCAAATGAAAAGGATTGCAACTTTCGGAAAAATTCAGCGCCGGAGCGATTGAGACGCTTGGAGCATATCAGAGTAAGTTATTTAACCGACCTTCTCATAGCATGTCCCGCAGATAGTATCAGCTTGATGAAAGGACCCGCAGGCTGGACATGTTACCAAGTTTTTAGTCGGCGATAATAGTCGAGTAAAAGAAAACTTCCGCGTCTGTTTCCTCGCTAAAAATTGAATTCACTCCATTGATTCATTGAGGATGCTCAAAACATACGCTTTGACGTGCGACTCTTCGGCACTCCCAA